CATATATACACACACCACTATATATATATACATATATAAATATATATATATATATATATATATATATATACACACACACCACTATATATATATATATATATATATACACACACACCACTATATATATATATATATATATATATATATATAATGTAGTGATGTATATTGTTGTCAGGATATGAGATGTTTGGCATATGGCATGTATTTCTCATATCTTTTGTTGGTGTGTGTGCAGTCTAATGTTCAGATGGAGAGTTCAGGAGTGTCTGCGCGCATACAGTTGTCTCCCACACACAGTCTTTATGTGTTTGTGCGCAACTTTGTGTGTCGCATCGGGGAGGATTCAGAGCTCTTCATGTCTCTGTACGACCCCAACAAACAGACAAACATCAGGTGCGTCTCTCTCACACACACACACAAACACTCATATAGACACACACATTAGCACACACGTATATTTGTACATACACTCATACACATCACACACACATTAGCACACAAACACACATACCAACACACACATTATCACAAGCACACACACAATCATGTACACACACACACACACACACACACACACATATACATAGCACACATGGACACATACATTAACGCATGCGCACACACAGACACACACATCAACACATTAACTCACACACACATTAGCTGACAAACACACATACCAACACATGCATTACACATGCACACACACAATCTTATACACACATACTCACATATATATATGTGCACACATGTACACACACATTAGCACACAAGCACACATACCAAGACAGACATTAACACATGCACACACACAATCATGTACACACATGCACACACACATTAACGCATGCGCACACACACAGACACACACACACAGACACACACATCAACACATGAACTCACACAGACTACACACACATTAGCAGACAAACACACACATTACACATGCACACACACAATCTTATACACACAAAGTCACATATATATATAAGCACACATGTACACACACATTAGCACACAAGCACACATACCAAGACACACATTAATGCATACACACACACACACACACATATACAGACACACTTTATTGCCTGAACACACACACACACACACACACACACACACATACACACACACACACACACTTTAATAACATTTATATACACACTTATATACACATGCATGCTCTCTCTTACTCATTTTGGTTATGGGGACCAAAAACATTGTCCCCACGAGGTTGCTATACTTGCAAGGACATTTGGTCCCCATAATATGAGGGAAAAAAAGTACACACAAACACACTTTAACTTTAAGTCTACAGGGGTTTGTCATTAACACACACACACACACACACACACACACACACACACACACACACATACAAATAAGCACACACAAACACACACACACATTCTGTCTCTTCATCTGTGCAGTGAGAATTATTTGGTCCGGTGGGGAGATAAAGGTTTACCGAAGGACATCGAGATGCTCAACAACCTGAAAGTGGTTTTTACAGTGAGTCTCTCATCACTTTAATTCATATTTTGTAGATTTTTATGTTTTATATGTATTATTATATATATTTCTGTGTATTTTTATAGAATAATATTTTTATTTTTACAGTTGAAGTCAGAATTATTCGCCCTCCTGTAATTTTCTTTTCTTTTTCCAATATTTCCCAAACAATGTTGAACAGATTCAGGAAATTTTCACAGTATTTTCTATAATATTTTTTCTTCTGGAGAAAGTCTTATTTGTTTTATTTCGGCTAGAATAAAAGCAGTTCTTAATTTTTTAAAACCCATTTTAAGCTCAATATTATTAGCCCCCTTAAGCAATATTAGTGTTGGATTGTCTCCAGAACAAACCACTGTTATACAATGACTTGCCTAATTACCCTAACTTTACCCTAATTACCCTAGTGAAGCCTTTAAATGTCACTTTAAGCTGAATACTAGTGTCTTGAAGAATATCTAGTCTAATAGTATGTGCTGTCATCATGGCAAAGAGAAAATAAATCAGTTATTAAAACTATTATGTTTAGAAATGTGTTGAGAAAATCTTCTCTCAGATAAATATAAAAGAGTTTACATTTAAAAGAAGGGTGAATAATTGACTCCAACTGTACATAGCTATTCATGTAAGGTATAGCGCTAAAAACAGACTCATATTTAGTGATGTGCTGAGGATTAAACCTCTCTCTGCAGGATCTGGGGAACAAAGACCTGAACCGAGAGAAGATTTACCTGATCTGTCAGATTGTGCGCGTGGGCCGAATGGAGCTGAAAGATAACAATAACAAGAAATGCACGATGGGTCTGCGGAGGCCGTTCGGCGTCGCTGGTAAATACCATAAAAATATACACTCCTCAGCCACTTTATTAGGTACTCCTTACTAGTACCAGGTAGGACCCCCTTTTGCCTTCAGAACTGCCTTAATCCTTGGTGGCATAGATTTAACAAGGTACTGGAAATATTCCTCAGAGATCTTGCTCCACATTGACATGATAGCATCACGCAGTTGCTGCAGATTTGTCGGCTGCACATCCAGTATGTGAATCTACCTTTCCATTACATTCCAGAGGTGCTCTGTTGGGTTGAGATCTGGTGACTGTTGAGGCCATTTGAGTACAGAGCACTCATTGTCATGTTCAAGAAACCAGTCTGAGATGATTGAGCTTTATGACATGCTGCGTTATCCTGCTGGAAGTAGCCATCAGAAGATGGAGACACTGTGCTCATAAAGGGATGGACATGGTCAGCAGCAATACTCAGGTAGGCTGTGGTGTTGACTCCATGCTCAATTTGTACTAATGGATCCAAAGTGTGCCAAGAAAATCTCCCCCACACCATTAAACCACCACCACCAGCCTGAACCGCTGATACAAGGCAGAATGATCCATGCTTTCATGTCGTTGAGGACGAATTCTGAGCCGAGCATCTGAATGTGTCAGCAGAAATGGAGACTCATCAGAGCAGCAACGTTTCTCCAATCTTCTATTGTCCAGTTTTGGTGAGTCTGTGTGAATTGTAGCCTCAGTTTCCTGTTCTTAGCTGACAGGAGCGGCACCCGGTGTGCTCTTCTGCTGCTGTAGCCCATCCGCCTCAAGGTTGGACGTGTTGTGTGTTCAGAGATGCTCTTCTGCAGAGCTCGGTTGTAACGAGTGCTTATTTGAGTTACTGTTGCCTTTCTATCAGCTGGAACCAGTCTGGCCATTCTCCTCTGACCTCTGGCATCAACAAGGCATTTGCACCCAAAGAACTGCCGCTCGCTGGATATTTCCTCTTTTTCAGGCCATTCTCCATCTAGAGAGGGTTGTGCGTGAAAATCCCAGTAGATCAGCAGTTTCTGAAATACTCAGACCAGCCAGTCTGGCAGCAGCAACCATGCCACGTTCAAAGTCACTTAAATCCCCTTTCTTTCCCATTCTGATGCTTGCATCGAACTGCAGCAGATCGTCCTGACCATGTCTACATGTCTAAATGCATTATGTGATTGGCTGATTAGAAATCTGCGTTAACAAGCAGTAGGACAGGTGTACCTAATAAAGTGGCCGTTGAGTGTATATATTAAATATCTGGCTGGATGTTGACATCTGATCAGAAAGAGAGAGTGTGTCATCTGTTAAAGTGTAATCTGTGTTCATTGACAGTGATGGACATCAGTGACATCATCAAAGGGAAGACAGAATGTGACGAAGAGAAGCAATATTTCATTCCCTTTCATCCGTAAGTCTGTCCTGTTCACCAAAAGTCTATTGATGGGTTTGATATGGGGTTTTGATTTGAACGACATATTTCAGCTCTTTAAAGGGGAACTGTCATGCAGAAATCACTTTTATAAGGGGTTTATACACAGTTGTGTTGCTGCAGTGTGTGAATATAAGCAGCATCTAATGGTAAACATCTATTTTTTGTATTGTTTATAATCAGACTTGATAAAGGAAACACTTTGATTGACATTCTCCCTTTGTACGTGTCATCAGAGGGGGAAAGCCCCGCCCACTGGTGACAATCTCTCCCTCATTAGCATAGAATATTAGTTTTGTTTTTGATTCTATTCTGACACAGACATTTGTAGCCCCGCCCTCTTTTGAAAAGAGCACAGTCTCATTTGCATTTAAAGAGACAGTCACCAAAACACCACAATCAGGATTAAAGCCTATAAGGGTCAGTTTCAGAGAGTTATAAACATTATTTGTGTGCTATTTTGAGCTGAAACATCACCCACACACACACTAGGGACACCACAGACTTATTGTACATCTTTGTTTTTGCATAATAGGTCCCTTTTAAAATATGAACACAGTTATATAGTTTATACAGTATGTGTTCATGTTATAGATTTTTTTTAATTTTTCTTCTTTTAATATGTGTGTTTGTGTGTGTGTGTTTTAGGGTCATCGCTGAGAACGACTTCTTACACACTCTGCTGAATAAAGTGACGACGACGCGTGGTGACAGTGGAGGACAAGGTACGACTTGCTGCTCTGATCTCTGAGAAAATGATGGAACAGCAGCAGTGATCAGACTCTCTGCTGACGCTTTAATACTCACTAAAGCCGTAATCCTGTCTGCACACACACACACATTCTCAAAGAGAGAGAGAGAGCAACCTAGCTTTCCCATGTGGTCTCCCATCCAGGTACTGACCGGGCGCAGCCCTGCTTAGCTTCAGTGGGCGACCATGTGAAAGTTGCAGAGAGCTAGCTGCCGGCTAACACACAACACACATTTAACATTACATTTACAGTTCTACATTTAACATTATCAGCAACAGTAGTGGTAACAGTGACTTTTACACACTACTGAATATTTTAACTATTTTTTTTATTCAGCTGATTATTTCTTCATTTTATTTTTTATTAAATTACAGGCTATAAGTTATGTTTGTTAAAACCAAACATGTCTTGGAGCACTGTTTTTGTAATAAATAGAAAGCAAATTACATTAGTCTCCTCCAATTTTTTTGCTGATTCAAAAAATGACCCAATTCAAGACTAAAAAACCATAACATGATCCAGCAGCGAGATCTTTTACACCACTATAGCATATACAATCCTTGTGAATTTGTCACATGCATAACACTGGAATTGCTGATGTTTTGTGTGTGTGGTGCAGGTCTGTGGGTCACCATGAAGGCTCTAGTGGGCGATATCGTCCAGATCCGTAAGGAATATCCGCATTTGGTGGACCGCAGCACTGTGGTGGCCCGGAAGCTGGGATTCCCTGAGATCATCATGCCGGGCGACATCCGCAACGACATCTACCTCACGCTGCACTCCGGCGACTTCGACAAGTACAACAAAACCACGCAAAAGAACGTGGAGGTCATCATGCTGGTGTGTGACGAGGACGGCAAGGTGGTGCCTGTGAGTGTGACCTCTGATAACTGATTTCTTTTCTTTCCTCACATAATATTTGACTAGATGTTCTTCAAGACACTAGTATTCAGCCTAAAGTGACATTTAAAGGCTTAACTAGTGTAATTAGGGTAAAGTTAGGGTAATTAGGCAAGTCAGTGTACAACAGTGGTTTGTTCTGGAGACAATCCAAAACTAATATTGCTGAAGGGGGCTAATAATATTGAGCTTAAAATGGGTTTTAAAAAATTAAAAACTGCTTTTATTCAAGCCGAAATAAAACAAATAAGACTTTCTCCAGAAGAAAAAACATTATAGGAATTACTGTGAAAATTTCCTGAATCTGTTCAACATCGTTAGGGAAATGTTAAAAAAAATAAATAAAAAATAACAGTAAAAATGAACTTCAACTGTATCAATTATTTTTAATAGATATAAAATTGTTATTATTATTAAAATGTTAAGGTATTTAAAATTAACTATTCATACTCTATAAAATATTCTTTATCAGCACCATTTGCTTAAACAGTGGGAGAAGACATGAAATACATGAAATTAAAATAAATATAAATGTGAGATGAAAGATGACACACTTGCGATGTGAGTAAATTATTATTTATGAGGGTAAATGAAAGTAATTCAATGTTGAGGCAAACATGGCATCTACATTTCTCCTTAGAAAAGGTATACCATATTGTAGAATACATTAGCATCTGATATAATGTGATGAAGTATGTTTATGTATGCAAATATATAATTTTCCAGGCTTAAAAAAGTGCCGGAAACTGTTTGAAAATGCATCTGGAAATTGCTTAAATTTGACTTTGAATTATGTGACACTGCCGGATTAAATATGCAAAAGGGGGCGGGGTTTTTTGTGTTGACTGACAGCTCTCTTTGTGTTTCTGTGCAGAACTCAATCTGTCTGGGAGCTGGAGATCGACCTGTAAACGAGTATAAATCCGTCATTTATTACCAGATCAAACAACCTCGCTGGATGGAAACATTTAAGGTAGGAGAAAAAGCACAACTAATATACCAACAATGAAATAAATTATATAAAAGTTGTATGTTTTAACCAAGATAGATGATTTAAAACAAACATTTAACATATTTTGACAGATCACTGGTAATTGTTTATTAGTATAATTAATAAATGAATTAATATTTGATTCAATAAAATTAAGTATACATTAAGTGCACATTTTAATATCAAGATACTAATTTAGTTATTAATAGTTTTTTTTCCCTATTTCCTTTTTTTTTTGTAATTTTGTTGTATTTTTTTTTTTTTGCAAGTTTTTTCATTTATTTATTATTTAATAAATGCTGCAAATAAAGTCTAAAGGGGCTTAGTTAGGTGTAAATTCTTATTTCGATCTGTATGTAGTGTATATGTGTTTTCCTCCGGGCCTGTAGGTGGCGATCCCGCTGGAGGAGATGCCCAGAATTCACCTGCGCTTCATGTTTCGTCATCGATCTTCACAAGAGTGTAAGTTTCACAGTGGCTGGTATAATGTTTTGAATTACAGTTGACCCAGTGAGCTGAGTGCATGACACATTCATTTATAACATAAATAACTTTTAAATGTAATGATTTTGTAGTTATTTGTGTACTGTTTGAGTTTAGTGTTGTTCCAAATGAAACACTGGCATTTTTACATTAACTGGAATATGTTAATATGTAAATATTAATCTCAATAAATGACCAAACTATCAAATAGTACCTTTCATGGCCATAACCATCGGAAGGATGTGCAATTATCTCCATAAAACAATTTTGCTTGTTGTTGCAATCTTAAATAAATAAACTAATTCAACCTTTGCACCTGATAGCTCCTCCCCTTAATCATCACCCCCCCCCCCTTTATCATTAGCTCTTCCCCTTCATCCCCAGCCCCTCCCCTTCATCAACAGCTTATCTCCTTTATCATCAGCTCCTCCGCTAATTAAGCAGCTGCTCCCTTTCATAATCAGCCACTCCCCTTCATAATCAGCTCATGCCCTGCACAGCAGCTCCTCCCCATTAATTACCAGTCCCCCCTATTCATCATTAGCTTATCCCCTGCAAATTCAGCCACTCCCCTTCATAATCAGCTCCTCCCCTGCACAAGCAGCTCCTCCCCATCAGTCCCTCCCCATTCATCATCAGCTCCTCCTCTTCATAATCAGCTCCTCTTCTTCATAATCAACCCCTTCAAAAGCAACTCCTCCCCATTATTTATCAGTCCCTCCCCATTTATGATTAGCTCCTCTTCTTCATAATCAGCTCCTCCCATTTACCATTAGCTCCTTTCCTTTATTGACAACCCTTTATTCATAATCAGCTCCTCCCCCTATTAAGCAGCTTCTCGCCTTTAATATCAGCTTCTTCCCTTCATAAGCAGCAGCTCCTCCTCTTTTATCAACTCCCCCCTTCATAATCAGCCCCTCCACTTCATAATCAACTTCTCCCTTTCACAAGCAGCTCCTCCCCATAATCAATCAGGCCCTCCCCTGTACAAGCAGCTCCTCCCCATAATTAATCAGGCCCTCCCCGGCACAAGCAGCTTCTCCCCATTATTTATGAGTTCCTCCCCATTCATCATTAGCTTATACCCTTCGTAATTAGCCCCTCTCCTTCTTTATTAGCTCCTCCCCTTCACAAACTGCTCCTCCCTATTAATTATCAGTCCCTCCCCATTCATCATTAGCTTATACCCTTCATAATCAGCCCCTCCCCTTCATTATTAGCTCCTCCCCTTCATAATCACTCCTTCTCCATAATCAGCCCCATCAAAAGCAACTCCTCCCCATTAATTATCAGTCCCTCCCCATTCATCATTAGCTCCTCCTCTTCATAATCAGCTCCTCCCATTTACTCAATTTAAGCAGCAGCTCCTCCTCTTTTATCAACTCCTCCCCTTCATAATCAACTCCTCCCCTTCATAATCAACTCCTCCTCATTATTAATCAGCCCCTCCCCATTCATCATCAGCTTCTCCCCTTCATAATCAGCCCCTCCCATTCATAATTAGCTCCTCCCTTTCACAAGCAGCTCCTCCTATTAATCAGCCCCTCCCCATTCATAATCAGCTCCTCCCCTGCATAATCAGCCCCTCCCCATCACAAGCAATTCCTTCCCATTAGTCATCAGCTCCTTCCTCCTTCATCATTAGCTCCTCCTATTTAACATCAGCACCACCCCTTCATCATTAGTTCATCCTCTTCATTATCAGCTCCTCCCCTTCTTAAGCAGCTCCTCCTCTTTATCTCAGCTCCAGTAAATTAAAAATAAATAAATAAATAAATAAACAAATAAACAAATAAATAAGTTTAAATGAATTAAACTATAAATTAAAAGCCAGATAATTATAATGTGGGCTCTCTGATGTCTGTTATGTGCCGTACATGCATGTATAAATCTTAGTATTACTAATAAATTATGTTATCATTTGTGTTTTACAGCAAAGGATAAGAGTGAAAGGAACTTTGCGATGGCGTTTGTGCGTCTGATGAAGGAGGACGGAACTGTTCTGAGAGACGGCATACATGATCTCACTGTATTTAAGGTCAGAAAAACATATGTACAAATATTTAATGAGGCCAAAAAGTGGATTAATTTTATTCTTGAGTTTTAATTGATTCTTGGGTGTCAATTTCAAGCAATAATGTGAGTAAATACTTGTTTCTAATGGGCTCTGTTTAGTTATTACCACCTATTTATCATTTAAATCAATATAGAAATTAATAGTTATGGATGATGATTTCTGCAAAGCCAAATTTTACATTGATGCAAATATATAAACATGATATGCATGTGAGTGTGGGATTAACTTAATTAATTATCAATTGTAAATACAAATTACAGAGCTTTTATTTGGCAGTTTCTGTAAAAATACTATTTTAAATGCAAAATATTTTATATTTAAATGTATTTAAATATTCATATTTATTGAAGTATTCTTGTTTTAATTATAAAATCAATTTCACTACAATATATAGAATTAGATACACAACAATCTATCTTGTGCAGGGCGACAGTAAGCGTATGGAGGAAGTGAGCATGTACCTGCCTCTGGCGTCGGAGCGCAGTACCTCAGACTGCCACAAGGGGTCGACGCTGATGCGCAGCTCCAGCAGTGTCGGGGGTCTGTCTGTGAGCTCCAGAGACATCTTCACCATCTCAACACTCGTCTGCTCCACCAAACTCACACAGAACGGTGTGTATGACCAATTAAGCACATGCAGACTGCAGAACGTGCATTACTTACAGAGAGTCTTGTATTTAGTCCAAATATCTAAACATTTCTTAAATCAAGTAGTATTGTCAAGCACACAACATATTCAGTCTTGTTTTCAATATTTAGTGAGTGTTTTCTTTAAGGAGACCTACTATGCATGTGCCTAGTGAAGTTTCAGCTTAAGATAGCACACAGATAATGTCTTTAGTTTCAGTCTTTAGTCCTAATTGTGGTGTTTTGGTGACTGTCGCTTTAAATTCAAATGAGATTGTGATCTTTTCAGAAGAGGGCGGAGCTACAAATGCCTGTGTGTCAGCATAGTGGCAGATTCAATAACAAGACTAACTTCCTATGCTAATGAGGGAGAGATGTGCACTAATGGGCGGGGCTTTCCCCCTCTGATGACACGTATAAAAGGCAGAATGTCAATCAAAGTGTTTCCTTTATCCAGTCTGATTATAAACAATACAGTTCATTAATTTACATTATTAGAAGCTGCTCGTATTAACACACTGCTGTGTTTAAAACCCCTTATAAAAGGGATTTTGCATATCAGATCCTCTTTAAAATAAGCTATAATCTGCCAATAAAGTAAGCAAAGATTCATGGCAGAGATTCAACAAGCTACTGGAAATATTCCTCAGAGATTTTGCTCCATATTGACGTGATAGCATCACGCTGTTGCTGCAGATTTGTCGGCTGCACATCCATGATGTGAATCTCCAGTTCCAACACTTTTCAAAGGGGCTCTATTGGATTGAGAGCTGGTGACTGTTGAGGCCATTTGAGTACAGTGCACTCATTGTCATGTTCAAGAAACCAGTCTGAGATGAAGTAGCCATCAGAAAGGGGTGGACATGGTCAGCAACAATACTCGGGTAGGCTGTGGCATTGATGTTTGATGTTTGTCCAGGGGAAAGTGGGGTTTGACATTTATGTATAATAGGGTATATGCCGAGCTAGTGCTGTTCCCATGCTGATACACTTCCGGTGACCTGTTATTGTGAACTTTTTCTCATTTTATACGGTTCCTTATACAGCATCGATGTTGTAATGTCAATAAAATACATTCAGTTAAATAAACTTTAGGATTTATTTAGTTGCTCAAGCGTAAAACGAGACAAAAAGCCGTTTACTCGCACGCGCCCGTCAGAATCGGCAGGCTAACGCAGAAGCTCCATTGAATATACTGGGGTAAAATAAATGCTCATATTATAAACACATGGCGGGGGGAATGTAATTTAATGCAGTGCTTCTTGTACAATCTGAGACCCACTTTAAATCGGATATCACTCAGCTAGTGGAGATCGCTGATTTTTAAAAGAAAACAGACCTTAAACGCGCTGGATTTTGCATTGCCATTCAATTCGCCGGAAGCGCTTAACCCAGGTTAATGGCAAATTAAAAGTCCTATTAGCATGCTTCGGCATATACCCCATTAAAATACAGTTATGCAAATAGGGAATGACATGCAAAAGACAACCAAAGTAGTTACCATAAATTGTGACTTTATTTACAATACCCAAAATGAACAAAAACAATGAATTAATCACAAATAAAGAAAAAGAAAGTCAGGCAAAAAATATGTATTTACAATATATACAACACCAAGACAAATACGAAGACCGGGAAAAACAACAGAGCTGGCAGAGGAGATGTGAGTGGCGCTAAAGAAATGAAAAGAACAAAACCCAAACAATATCTAACTCCCCTGAACCGTCTAACAAGCTAAATATATGAAACACAATAACAAACACGCGAAGAGTCTTCCGAGTCCTAACTATCTACTCTGTCTATTCAAAAAGTACAAGGGGTGGCGCTCGCCGTACTATACACAAGAGCAGTCCTACATGTTGCAAGATGTGTATCACACGACCTTCTTACCTGTCCGCTTCGGCCAAGCCTTGTAAATAACGTAAATGAGAAATGGAAGGATGTATGAATGACATTTGGACAAGAGGGAAAATAAGACTACAGTTCTGAGCCGAGCATCTGAATGTGTCAGCAGAAATGGAGACTCATCAGAGCAGGCAACGTTTCTCCAATCTTCTATTGTCCAGTTTTGGTGAGTCTGTGTGAATTGTAGCCTCAGTTTCCTGTTCTTAGCTGACAGGAGCGGCACCCGGTGTGCTCTTCTGCTGCTGTAGCCCATCCGCCTCAAGGTTGGACGTGTTGTGTGTTCAGAGATGCTCTTCTGCAGAGCTTGATTGTATCGAGTGCTTATTTGAGTTACTGTTGCCTTTCTATCAGCTGGAACCAGTCTGGCTAGCAATGTCAAGCTTTACATGGTTGAAACATAAATATTTCTATTGAATATGTTTCTTTTTTCTCTTGTCTTACTTTAAAGATAACAAATGGTTTCTTTGGCATCTTTCATCAGAAAGCAATAACCTGCTGTGCCTCCGAAATCACTTTCCTTCTCAGCCGATGCCATCGAAACCTCTTACTTTTCATGTAGAAACACTTTTCACCACTGACGTATAACTCCCTGCCTTTTCCCCTCACTGAACATCCCTGTTGACTTGGAAAAGCATGACATTACAGAAATGAAATGGACTGTGAGTGCTGTTTCATTTCGCCTGTGAAAAGAGCCACAAGGCAAACAAATGGGTTTCTTTCTGTCGTGTTTCTAGTCCAAATATCAACAACTTCCTAAATCAAAAAGCATTTTATAGACGAGCAGTAAATATTGTGATGTTTTCAGAAATAATAAGTCAAAATAAGTGTGTTTTTTATTAAAACAAGCAAAATAATCATAATTCAAAGTGAAAACTACACGCACCGGCCACTTTATTAGGTACACCTGTCCAACTGCTTGTTAACGAATCAAATCACATGGCAGCAGCTCAATGCTTGTAGACATGGTCAAGACGATCTGCTGCAGTTCAAAGCGAGTATCAGAAATGGGGGAGAAAGGAAATTCAAGTGACTTTGAATGTGGCATGGTTGTTGCTGCCAGACGGGCTGGTCTGAGTATTTCAGAAACTGCTGATCTACTGGGATTTTCACGCACAACCCTCTCTAGATGGAGAATGGCCTGAAAAAGAGGGAATATCCAGTGAGCGGCAGTTCTGTGGGTGCAAATGCCTTGTTGATGCCAGAGGTCAGAGGAGAATGGCCAGACTGGTTCCAGCTGATAGAAAGGCAACAGTAACTCAAATAAGCACTCGATACAACCGAGCTCTGCAGAAGAGCATCTCTGAACACACAACACGTCCAACCTTGAGGCGGATGGGCTACAGCAGCAGAAGAGCACACCGGGTGCCGCTCCTGTCAGCTAAGAACAGGAAACTGAGGCTACAATTCACACAGACTCACCAAAACTGGACAATAGAAGATTGGAGAAACGTTGCTGCTCTGATGAGTCTCCATTTCTGCTGACACATTCAGATGATCGGCTCAGAATTTGGCCTCAACAACATGAAAGCATGGATCCATCCTGCCTTGTATCAGCGGTTCAGGCCAGTGGTGGTGGTGTAATGGTGTGGGGGAGATTTTCTTTGGGTCCATTAGTACCAATTGAGCATCAACGCCACAGCCTACCTCAGTACTGCTGCTGACCATGTCCATCCCTTTATGAGCACAGTGTCTTCATCTTCTGATGGCTACTTCCAGCAGGATAACACACCATGTCATAAAGCTCAATCATCTCAGACTAGTTTCTTGAACATGACGATGAGTTCACTGTACTCAAATGGCCTCAACAGTCACCAGCTCTCAATCCAATAGAGCAGCTTTGAAATGTGGTGGAACAGGAGATTCACATCATGGATGTGCAGCCGACAAATCTGCAGCAACTGTGTGATGCTATCATGTCAACATGGAGCAAAATCTCTGAGGAATATTTCCAGCATCTTGTTGAATCTCTGCCATGAAGGCTTAAAGCAGTTCTGAAGCCAAAAGGGTAAGGTGTACCTAATAAAGTGGCCGTTGAGTGTATATATAAATGTGTTGTATGTGTGTTTCTCAATGTTGGGTTGTGGCTGGAAGGGCATCTGCTGCATAAAACATATGCCAGAGTAATTGTCGGTTCATTCTGCAGTGGCGACCCCTGATAAATCAGGGACTAAGCTGAAGCAAACTGAGTGTGTGAGTGTTTACTTTTGTTAAATGACTTTATTTGTTAAAGGACACACAGATGCAGGTGTGCTCGAACAGCTGTTCTTGAGAAGGCCTGTTAATCACACTAATGAATGTTGCTGAATCTTCCATCACCACGCTCACACTAACACACACACACATTCACAGCTAAACACGTGAAACTGTCACACAGGGTTATGGGGTTTAAACACAGTTGTGTGTCAGCAGTGTGTGAATATAAGCAGCATCTAATGGTAAACATCTATTATTTGTATTGTTTATAATCAGACTGGATAAAGGAAACACTTTGATTGACATTCTCTCTTTGTACGTGTCATCAGAGGGGGAAAGCCCCGCCCACTGGTGACCATCTCTCGCTCATTAGCATGGGACGTTAGTCTTGTTATTGAATCTGCCACTATGCTGACACACAAGCATTTGTAGCTCCGCCCTCTTCTGAAAAGAGGACAATCTCATTTGAATTTAAAGAGACAGTCACCAAAACACCACAATTAGGACTAAAGACTAAAAGGGTAGGTTTCAGAGAGTTATAAACATTATTTGTGTGCTGTTTTAACTTCTTTTAACTTCACACACACACACTCTAGGGACATCCTAGGGATTTATTTCTACATTAATAAAATAATGCATCTGTCTGTGTGTCTGTCAGTGGGTTTGTTGGGTCTGCTGAAGTGGAGAACTCGTCCTGAGATGCTGAAGAAGAACCTGCAGGAGCTCAAACTCATCGACGGAGAAGAAGTTGTGAAGGTGTGTGGCACTGAAACTATTAATGAACTGCACTAGAAACTTACTTTAGCATGCGTGTTTGTTAATGCGTGTGTGTGTGTGTGTGTGTGTGTGTGTGTGTGTGTGTGTGTGTAGTTTCTGCAGGACACTCTGGATGCTCTGTTCAACATCATGATGGAACATTCTCAGACTGACGACTATGATATTTTGGTGTTTGACGCTCTGGTAAGCAGCATCCAAACACACACACAGTCAAAGTCAGAATTATTAGCCCTCCTGTATATTTTTTTTTTCCCAATTTTTGTTTGAAGATAATAAGATTTTTTTTCATTTCTAAACATAATAGTTTTAATAACTATTAATAGTTTTAATCTTTGCCATGATGACAGCACATAATATTAGACTAGATATTCTTCAAGACACTAGGATTCAGCTTAAAGTGACATTTAAAGACTTCACTAGGGTAATTAGGGTAAAGTTAGGGTAATTAGGCAAGTCATTGTATAACAGTGGTTTGTTCTGGAGACAATCCAACACTAATATTGCTTAAGGGGGCTAATAATATTGACCTTAAAATGGCTTTAAACAATTAAAAACTGCTTTTATTCTAGCCCAAATAAAACAAATAAGACTTTCTCCAGAAGAAACAAATATTACAGGAAATACTGTGAAAAATTCCTGAATCTGTTCAACATCATTTGGGAAACGTTTAAAGAAGTATCAAAATATTGGCTTGTTTTATGAGGCATTACCTCTGTAAGACTTTAATAATTTTGTATATTAAGACTATTATTATAGTATTATCAGTCCTTTATTATAATAATAAATAAGTAATGTATTAATATCATTTTGTTACTTTCTCTGATTGTTTTTTTTTTCATGTATATGTTTTTTTATTTTATTTTGTCTTGCATAATTTCTTTAGATTAGTGTTGTTATTTACTAATCTTACCCCCGAAAACCTTACATCACAGGTGTCAAACTCCTGGAGGGCCGCAGCTCTGCACAGTTTAGGTCCAACCCTAATTAATCACACCTGATCGAACTAACTGAGTCCTTGAGGCTTGTTTGAAACCTGCAGGTAAAGCTGCGGTCACAGTAGAGTTTGAGCATGCGAAATTCTGTCGTGCGGCACTGCGAAAAGGGGCTGGATAAAACAAGCTGATTAGACATTTTCACAAGCGAGCGATTGCTCCATGTTTTAAATTTCTTTCCAGAGAGGTCATGCTTTGATCCGAGATTGTTCTCACACAGTCAATTGATGCGATTTCGCAAGTCAGAGTTCACCAAGCTTGAACTTTCCACCGCAGCAACCTGCGAAACTTGACCCCGCGTCTGACGCATTCGCATGCGTATGAATGGAAGTCTATGGGAGGAAAAGCCCAGCGTGACAGCAGCTTAGTCTTAAGGCTGCAACTAAACTATGCATGGCTGCGGCGCTACAGGAACGGAACATTCTTTATTACAATTATTTATCCAGTTGTTTGGTAATTGCATAGATGGTTTTCAGATATTTTAAAACATTTCTAACTAAATTTTTTGAGATGTATGTGGCTAGAAAAAATATTTATATTTATTAAATATATATTTCTATCAATTTTTGTTTCATTTTATTTTGTAGTTTTGTGTTATGTTGTTTAGTTTAGTCTAATTTTGTTTTATTTTATTTATAAATATATTTTTTTCACATATGCTTTTCTTATATTTAAAAAAACATTTCTAAGCAATTTCAGATGACATTTTTAGCACTAAGTAGCTAGAAGGAATATTTATATGTATTATAATTAAAAAAAATATTTAGTTTAATTTATTTTATTATTTATTTACTTTTATTTTATTCTATTTAATTTAATTTTATTTATAACATTTTTTACATATATGCTTTTCATGTATATTTGTAAAAAATTCTAAGCCTTTTCAGATAGCATTTTTAGCACTTTAAGGTGTTAAAAGGAATATTTATATTTATTTTATAATTTCAAAATGAAGTTTTCATTTTTTATTTTTAAATTTTTTAATTATTTTATTTTATTTTATTTTATTTTATTTTATTTTATTTTATTTTATTTTATTTTATTTTATTTTACTTTATTATTTTAAGTCTGTGTGTTTATTTTATTTTATTCCTCCAAGCCTGTGATAACCCTGGTGTAGTATAAATATTTTTCACTTTTTCTCTCAGATTTATATCATCGGTCTGATCGCTGACAGAAAGTTCCAGCATTTTAACACAGTTTTGGAGGCTTACATTAAACAGCACTTCAGCGCCACACTGGCTTACAAGTGAGTGAAACTCTCTTCTGAACACAAGAGGGCAGTGTGTGTGTGTGTGTGTTTCATGTCAATTATGTGCAAAATGTCAATTACAGAATTGAAAATAATCCAGGTCAAGTCAGAGTGAAGAAATTTGGCATATCAATATTATTAATCTTTATTATGTTTTCATTTTAATGTGTATATTAACATATATGCATATGCAAAATAATTGTTAAGTAGCAGTTTTTAATTATTTCTTTAGATTTGGCTTAAAATAGGACGTTCGGTTTATATAAATAATTAATTTGGCTATACATTTATTAATATAACCTCTTAACTGTCAGCCCATTTTTTGAGTTTACACATGAAATGCATATTATATTATTATATTATATTATATTATATTATATTATATTATATTATATCATATTATAATGTCAAGATTTTTATGTATTTAATATGTACTAAAAACAAAATATCAATTTCAATAGTGCAAAGTAAATTTAATGTGTGCTTTAGGAAGCTGATGTCGGTGTTGAAGACTTATCTGGATGTGTCGAGTCGCGGCGAGGCCTGTGAACCCATCCTGAGGACACTTAAAGCTCTGGAGTACATCTTCAAATTCATCGTCCGCTCTAGAATGCTCTATTCACAGTAAGTCTGAGTGGGGGATTGATTCTGAAAGACTCAAATGATGAAAGACCAAACAAGACACGCACACACACACACACACACACACACACACACACACACACACACACGCACACGCACACAAACACACACACACAATTTTAAAAAGCCACACAATTTTAGCAATTTAGATGTAACAACTTGAAATGTATTTTATTTTATATTTTATTTTATTTCATAAAATTATTTAATAATTAATTAATTAGTTTGTTTTTGTGTTAGTTTTTTATTTTTTTTACTAAAGTATTTTTATTTTATCTTATTATTTTTTCAAATATAATTTATTTTAATTAATAATTAATTAATTTGTTTGTTTTTATGTTTGTTTTTATTTGTTTTTTGATTTTATTTGATTTATTTATATAATTTTTAGTATTTTTTAATTAATTAATTTATTTTAATTATTTATTAATTAATTTGTTTGTTTTTATGTTTATTTTTATTTATTGTTATTGTTATTTTATTTTTTTATTGTATTTTATTTATTTCATTTTACTTTTTAAAAATTTATTTATTTTAATTAATAATCAATTTATTTGTTTGTTTTCATGTTTGTTTTTATTTATTTTATCTTAATTAAATTTTTTATTTAATTATTTATTTTATTTTATTAAAAGCTAAATTATACTTTGATCTTAGGGTAAAAATATAGTGGTGCAGTATGACATCAAAAATGACATCAATAAATGTATGAGCATTTTTATTTTTTATATTAAGACATATGTGTATTTTAAAAATGCATATGCAAAATAATTTTAAAGTCCCATTTTGTATTTATTTATTTATTTATTTATTTTTGGCTTAAAATATGACCTTTTGGTTAATGTAAATGATTTATTTGGCTATGTATTTATTAAGTGTCACCTTTAATTTTTTGAGTGTACACTTAAAAAATATATATGATGAATGCGTGTTGGGTTTCCTCCGGGTGCTCCAGTTTCCCCCACAGTCCAAACACAGATAGGTCAATTAAATAAGCCAAACTGACCATAGTGTACGAGTGTGAATGCAAGAGTTTATGGGTGTTTCCCAGTGCTAAGTTGCAGCTAGAAGGGCATTCACTGCATAAAACATATGCTGAATAAGTTGGCGGTTCATTCTGCTGTGGTGACCCCTGATTAATAAAGGGGCTAAGCCGAAAAGAAAATAAATTAATTAATTATATAAAATGAATTAAATTGATTATAACATATAATATTATTATTATTTATTAAATATTTATTGCTTTATTTTTTAATCTAAATTAACTATGAAATTGTATTAAATATAAAATGTTTTATTATTGTTATTATTTGTTTCATCTTTCTTTTTTAATGTAAATTAAATATCAAATTAAATACATATTACATATAAAACTATTATTATATATTAAATATATATTTATAAACTTTTTATTGTAAACAAAATGTTATATTATTTTATTAAAAGCTAAAATATACTTTGATATTAGAGTTTTCTACTTTAAGTAAAAATTAATAGTGTCTCTATAATAAACACAATATTTTCACATTGTGTAAATGTATTTTTTTTATTATTTAAAATTAAATTAAATTAAATTAAATTAAATTAAATTAAATTAAATTAAATTAAATTAAATTAAATTAAATTAAATTAAATTAAATTAAATTAAATTAATACCAAGCTATTACCAAGCTGTAACAAATTACATTAATTCTTTAAAAAGTTGGTTCAAAGTGCGACTTATTTTAGAGTACTTCTTATTTATTCAGCTTCATTGTTGTTTGTCAGTGTCACATTTCGGCAGATTTTCACCTTATTAATAAAGGCGAGATGTAATTTCTGTTTACATTGTTAACACACAAAGCTCAGATATACAGTAGCGAACAGCATAGTACACCACAATTGGTTTTGTTAATGCAAAATACTCCTCATGTTGAGCGTCTTGAAGTGTGTCGCGCTCGCATTCTCAGAAAGCTTCATAAAAGAGTTGTCAAGCGAGTCTGTGAATGTTCGCTCATCTGAACGTGAGCAGAAAAGAAAACCACCAGAAAATGACCATCCAGCAGCTCCAGGCTCAGATTTTCAAGCGCTGTTGTCGTTTTTTAGGATTTTTTTTGACAGGGTTGCATGTCCTCTGGCTGCTCTGTGTGCGGCGTTTTGTCCAGGAGTGTAACAGCGCTCATTAAGGGCCCGAGTGTGTGTGTGATTTATGAATCTGCCTGTAGGGCCCCGGGATGCCGTCATTGAGCGCAGAACCGCACACTGTGGCTGATGCTCATTTCTCTGACCGTTTCACATTAGCTGTGTTTCCATCTAAAGATGCGAACAAAATGTGTGCGCAGAACACATTCAGCTGAAGTCAGAATGATTCGCCCTGTCATTTTTTTCTTCAAGTATTTCCCAGATGGTGTTGAACAGATTCAGGAATTTTTCACGGTATTTCCTGTAATATTTTTTCTTCTGGAGAAACTCTTATTTGTTTAATTTCAGCTAAAATGAAAGCAGTTCTCAATTATGTTAAGTGAAGTTTCATAAAATAATTTCGAGAGGAGCACGTGATATGATTAAGCACGACTGGCCGCTCATCTGTAATCAGTAATAATCCAATCAGAGTGATCCTAGTTTACTTTAAAGGGATCATTTCCTCCCTACTGCTCTATCTTTGTTTTGGAAGAATCCCCCCTTCCACCCCATCTCCTCCTTTTCCTTATTTTTCTAAAGGGGGAGCTCTCGAGACCTACCTGATCTCGGATCTCCTCATATGCTTAATGACCGGGCGGGAGCCTTATGTCCGAGCTCAGCGTTCTCTCCCGGGACAGCATGCCAAACCTGCTACAGTACAAATGCTAAGCATGTCTAAGTGGGAACTCTTTAAAGCCATTTCAAGCTCAATGTTATTAGCCCCCCTTTAGTGTTGTTTAGGGTTTAGAGGGTCATTTGTGCACTTTGTGTTTGTACAAGGAATATTCTGGCATGTTTTGCAATGCAATAGTGCATGGAATAGTGTTGCTGGATGTGTGTGTGTGTGTTGTACAGTGGGTCTGTAGCAGCTGATTGCATCATTAATTTGGCTAATAGTCACTGATGCCAAAACAGCTGCTAAACGAATCTTAATGAGCATGAGTGTGTGTGTGTGTGTGTGTGTGTGTGTGTGTGTACTAATGACCGACAGAAAAGAGCTACAAATCAGTCCCACTGCAAACTGCATATTTGATCACAGTAAATGCTTTCATTATGCACCACAGTTCATTCAGCTCTTGTAAACGCAGCATTTATTTGGGTGGAACATTTATTTATTTATTTATTTATTTATTTAGATTTGGCTTAATATATGGCCTTTCTGTTTCTATAAAGTGTTAATTTGCTGCTTTATTTTTTAAAATAGAAGTAAACATACATCTAAAGAAGTTACATAAATTTATTTATTTGAATAATTTTTTATTAATTTATTCATTTTCATTCAATCAATCAACCAATTAGTTAATTAATTAAACAAATAAATAGTTAATCTAAATGTTTAGATATAGTGTAAAATGACCTTTCCTTCTTTCGTTCATCTGTTCATTCTTTCATTTGTTCATTTTTTTATTTATTAGTTTGTTCGCTTGCTTGCTCGCTCATTCATTCATTCATTTGTTCGTTCGTTCATTCATTCATTCATTCATTCATTCATTCATTCATTCATTCCTTTCTTTCTTTTATTCTTTCATTCGTTTCTTTCTTCCTTTCTTTTGTTTGTTTGTTTGTTTGTTCGTTCGTTCATTCATTTGTTCGCTTGCTCGTTCTTTCATTTATTCATTTTTTTCTTACTTTCGTTCATTTGTTTGTTTGCTTGCTCGTTCTTATTCATTTCTTTCTTTCTTTCTTTCGTTTGTTTGTTCATTCGTTCGTTCATTCGTTTGATTGCTCGCTCTTCCATTTATTTGTTTCTTTGTCTCTTTTTTTCATTTGTTTCCTTCGCTTGCTTGCTCGCTCTTTCATTCATTCGTTTTTTCTTTTATTTGTTTAGTTGTTTGTTCGTTTGCTTGCTCACTGTTTTATTAATTTATTTCTTTTATTCATTCGTTTGTTCATTTTCTCGTTCTTTCATTGGTTTGTTCGTTCATTCTTTTACTTGCTTTCCTGCCCTTTCGTTTGCTTGTTTTTTCCTCCTTTTTTCCTTTGTTTTTTTTCCTTTCTTTTGTTTGTTTGTTCACTTGTTATTTTGTTTGTTTCTTTGTTTGTAAGTTCACGCGCTTGCTTGCTCTCACTCTTTTCATTTGTTTGTTTGTTTGTTCACTTAGTCTTTCGTTTGTTTTTTTGTTTCTTTCTTTTTTTATTTATTTGTTTGTTTGTTCACTTGATCTTTAGTTTGTTTGTTTCCTTGTTTCTTTTTTCATTTGTTTGTTTGCTTGTTCGCTTGTTCTTTTGTTTGTTTGCTTGTTTGTTTGTTTTTTCATTTTGTTGTTTGCTTGTTTACTTGATCTTTAGTTAGTTAGTTAGTTAGTTAGTTTGTTTTTCATTTGTTTGTTTGCTTGTTCTCTTGTTCTTTCGTTTGTTTCTTTCTTAATTCTTTTGTTTGTTCGTTTGCTTGCTTGCTCTTTCAATTATTTGTTTGTTTCTTTCGTTTGTGTGTTCATTCGTTCGCTTACTTGTTCTTTTGTTTGTTTATTCGTTCATTCATTTGTTTACCCGCTCGCTTACTTTTTCGTTTGTTCATTTCTTTTTCTTTGTTTGTTTGTTTGTTTGTTTCTTTCTTTCTTTCTTTCTTTTTTTTCTTATCTTTTGGTCGCTCACTCTTTCTTTGACTCACATTAAGAATTTATTTGCAAAAAATTTACCAATTTACTTATAAAAAGTTGCATAATTCTTTTAACATTTTTCTTTCTTTCTGGTCTCTCTCTTTCACTTTCTGTGTTTCTGTGATATAAACTGGTGTGTGTTACGGCGTTCTCCTCTGCATACTAACGCCTGTGGAAGTGTGTGTGATTGTTCAGCGTGTATTAAAGGAGAGTCTCTCAGTG